CCTGTCATTTTTTTGTTGCTATTATCACCCGTGAGACGGAGGTGGTGTGGTGACAAGTGGCGCGCTTACCTCTCGCGCGGCGCCGGATTCAAATCCCGGGTCGACTCCCGCCCAGGCCAACCAAGCCTTCCTTCTACCCTCCGGGGATGGTAAATTGGTACCAGATTCATCTGGGAGGATAAAACACTGACTTGTACATCGGCTGGCCCCCGCAAGTCATTGTATAGGCCACATCGCATACAATAAGCCACTACGATTCTGAATAGAAGTAGAATGCGTGCCGCGTCCCACAAAGGGATTGATTAACGGCGAAGACTTTGGTCTTTTATTATTATCATTCGTAGGTATTAACTAGCAATATAATAGCCATCGTGATCCCTAAGACTGCGCTCATACTGTGCGACGTCGTCGTCAACGTCGACGTAACCGACGAAACCGACGTTTTCGACTAGAGACTAGATACGTATCGATTCACGTGTCGAGGTAATCGACGTAAACGACGAGAAGATTAGGTACGTATCGATTGACTTCAAAAACGTCGGTTTGTTCGATTTCGTTGGTTTCCTCAGTTACCTCAGTATCGTCGGTTTCGTCGAATCGATAGGTGTTGGATATCTTCGCGAACTTGTTGCAGAAAACGCAGTCACGTCGACGTCGACGACGACGTCGCACGGTATGAAGGCAGCGTAAGTCTGTCCCTCGCTAACTACGGTATCATTCTTAGAAGTCGATAGCCTCTGTGAGTCGAAAGTGCGAACTCTCAATCTGCAGCTCCTTCTAGTCAGCGAAATTGTTTTCAGGTAGATGCAGTTTTAGAGCCCGGAACAAATGGCAGTCAGGGACAGTCTATTTTGGAGAACGGGACTGCACTAGGACTCCCAAATGAAATCTGGCGGATTTGAGCCTGGCTTTCTGCGGTCAAAGCAGCGTATGAACGAGGCTGGAGGGGTGATACCCAGGTGCAGACTCCATACTTCGCCTCATGTGTGTTTCGAGAACTCTGTATCCATGCCGGCTCCACTTTAAGGATTGCTCCGGCCTGGTATGGAGACGGCACTCGGGTATCACTACCCTGAAGCCCCGTTTCCATGAAATTTCGGCGGGGAAAATGGCACGCCACTGCAGCTGTGGGCCCATAGTCCCATTCACCTCGTATATGGCAGGGAGCATCCTTGGAAATTAGTTTACTGTCTTTGGTATCAGAAACGTAGTCAGAAGAACTAGTTTTACATATTGGATTGGCCCATAAGTAGAGACCTTCTTTTCCACGGTTGCTATATGGAAAAATATATGATCAAGAAAAGATGATTCCGAGGCGGCTTGAAGTTGACCGATTAGGAGGGTGCTTGATAATAATAAGGAAACAATCCATGACCTCTGACGATTCCCCTTCTATGGTATTAAGCTCCACGAATAAGGTGATTCGGAAAGCTCTCAGTTGGACTTAATAGGGCTGTCTGATGCTCGTCTGTGAGGCCAACAATCTTCGAATGAAATCTTCGAATCACTTAAACCTTTATAGCATTTCTAGGAGACATAATCTCTCAGCCGTATGCCTAGCAGCTGAGCCTGTGAGCCCTTAGCCTTCTAATTTGAGGTAAAAAAGAGAGGCTGTAGAAAATGCTCAATTTCGTCGACCTGACACTCCAGTTTGAGCTTCTAAATATTCGTGAAAAGAGAAACTTCAAAAAGCGAAGACCATCGTATAGGGCAAGGAATTCTCTACAAATCAGTATAGAACTAATTGCAAAACTTTTCACTTCTAGCGCGATATTTTGAGTGGGAAAAAACGCCATTAACTTATTAATAGCATTCTGAGGGAATTGAATTTTTCTAACAGAGTGGCCTAGTCGCTGTGACTCCTGAAGTCTTGTTTCTTGCGGTGGCAATTCCAACTGGCAAAACAGTAAGTGTATCTACATCGGCAGCACGATCATACAGTACTCCTCAGTATTTACGCGCACCCCCAGACCTTCACCCATAAACCTTCTCAAGTCGGCTTTCTCTCGACTATACTCCATATCAAGGTTTTCTTGTCGACTGCGCGCACAACTTACCCCTGACCGCCGTGCATGTATTCGGTCAACACGAACCCAAAAATATATGATTGAACGACATGCATAGACAGTTACGGATCTCTAAAGTAGGGCCCGCCTGAAACCAAGAGATACAACTCTTTTGCAACAGAGTCGCACACGCAGCACGATATCAATGACGATCTGTGAAGAAGTTTACCGCTATAATGCACCAGACGGCTTTTTATTAACTAGATTTCCAGAAAAGGATAGCGCGAGGTCTTGCTCTGCTGCAGCCCAAGGGTCGAGTTCCAGCAATGTCTTGAAGCTGTATTGGTGGGAGAGAACTCTGTGTGTGTGTCTTGATGAAGGAATACGTGTTGTCGCGGGAACAAGATTCTGCGCATTAAACTACAGTTCAGGTAAAAAATGTGACTGATTCTCTTAGTACGAGGCGAAGGCATAGAACATGCTACGTAAGAATCAACAAGATAAGCGCAACTGTAGTATCGCAGAGCGGAATGAATTTGTCCGCACAGGCGATCACCCCTCAGTCTCCCCAACATGACATCAGCACGTCCAACGTATCTTTTCCAAAAAGAGCTAGCTCGCTATAAAAAGATGTATTAGCCTACGAAATGCTTGATTGCTAATACGAGAGCTGGACGCTACCCTCGCAAGAGAGGGGAACTCGGGTGCAAATTAGTCCGGCCTCCTGCGCACCTACGGCTTGCATCTTCCTAGATTTCTGGTATCCCTATATACCCTGCGCGATATAATCTAGTCTCCTAGTCAACGCACCGGCTCACAATAAAAACGACTAAGATGGAGCGACTATCAGATAATTTCTGATGCGACCCGGCAGTGCGCGCGATGGACACTAATAAGTTCCAGAAGTGAATTTGTCCCAATAGACACGTTCTGCAGAATGGTCATTCGCCAAGCTGATTGTGAAACTGAGGCACGAGATCGAGTTAAGCTCATCATTTGATGCGGGCTCACTTCAAAAGTGGGATAAGAACACTTATCGACCGCAATCAAGCGATTGCTGTACTGAATTTCTCGGTCTTAGCTACGGCAATCATCTATAAAAAGCCCCTATGATTTTGGACAAAAGAAATGTGCTACGATTCTATCAGCTTCTGCGGTCGGCAGCCCTGTAAGATAACGAGAATAAAGAATGAGAAGAGACAGAAAACAACTATAACACAAACATGAGACCGAGCATGCCGCACAGTTGACAAAAATAACAGTTCAAAGCGACGATCGGTCCCCCACTAGAGACCTTGAGCTATGTTACCACCTAGAACGAATTAAATATCGAGAGTGCAAAACCAAGAGAAGGAATGATGTGCCATTGAGCAGATAACTGGGTCAACAAAGAAAAACTATTCGTGCTCTAAATTTTGGTTTGCTTGGGTCGATATGAGAGAGTTCGATCGAGACATATTACGATTCGCGTCAAAACTACTATACATTGGAGATTTGCTCTGATCTCCTTTCATGCAGGAGCTTGGTCTTCGAAGGGTTGCGGTGTCACAACTACTAACTCTGAACGGCAATAGCGGTTCCGCGGATTTCCGTGTAGTAGCAAACTGGCCATGGAACTGCTCTCTTTGTGATCTCCTTCTGGGACTTCCCTGCATCGGCTTTTCCGAGATGTGCCTCGATTCATGTTCGTATTTTTCACATATAATATGCTCTTTGCAAGGAGTGGTGATGTGTGACAATGAACTTAATGTCTTGCACAGAACCTGAATTGGCTCGCAAAGACCTGTAAGGATCCAGAACAGCACATACCTACCTCGATTCATTACTTATTTTCAACACGAAGATGCTGGCGCACATCTGTCTGTCAAGTTGTCCTGCGCTGTAATCTCCCGATAAATTCGAGTACATCAACCTGAGAACCAGTTGGAACGGTGGAGCCGTCTATAGGTGGGGTTTGTCTATGTAGGCTCATGTGGCCATTTCGTGTCATAACATGGTATAGGAACTGCACAAGACAGATTCAACTTCCGAGTACTAGAACTAGTCTTCGACTCCCTTATCTGTGGCGGCGAGCATCCGGCAGACACTGAGATGCTTGAAGTGAAAATTTCTAAAACATACATTTCTCGAGAAAATTCCGTAGCTATATCCGAATTCTATGAAGTATTTTCTGTGAGTTTAGGTCCTGCCAGAGATTTTTTGGCGAAACGATACACTAGCAAGGTATCAGTTGGCGGATCGAAATGAGGGACGTTCGACTATTCTCCATCTGGAGAGGCAGAAACTCAGTAGACTATGTAGGTGGGCGGTGCCCGTTCATAACAAACTTTCAAAAATTCGTGGGGTTCGGGTTATGCCAGAAAAGATCCCGACGACAACGGAAAATCTAGTAGGTGATTAGATGACCAGAAGAATAGGGCAAAAACCGTTATATGGAGACGCGAACCGGAAGTGAATGAAGCACACAAATGGGGAGTAAGTGAATTGAGCACTGTTGGGCAGAATGAAGTTAGTTAGGGATTAAACCTTGAGAGTAGGGAGAAAATACCAAAATGGTATGCTTTCCGTTTTTTTCTGCGCGCTATTCTCAGTCAAGGGTAACACGGATGGCCGGTCTAGAAATCTATAATTGTCGCTTAGTGAACTCGTCTCTAAGGGCAGGTGGGCCTGGTACTAGGGGTGTAACCGATAGAACAGTTAGAGGCGGAGAGAGAGGCCCTCAGTAATCCCGACAAAATATTCTATCTTTTCGACACCGCGACCATCTCGCCGAGTACTGCGCCCTCCCACACTGTCCTCATTTCTTTAAAGCACTCGGTTTAAGGAAGAATCTTTCTACACTTGTTACGGCAAATGCGGAACAAACTCACGAACATCTATGAGAACAGATAAAAAAAGTAAACTCACTCCACCGGATAGTGACGATTTCCTTAACCCTTCATATCCCCATCTTGAGCAACGCCGGGAGACTGAAGGTGACAGGGGCTGGCTAAATAGCCATAACGCCCCATAATTGCACCTCCGATGATTTCGAAAACACCACTACTCCTCCCGGAAGAGGCATCCCGGTAGTTTACGATGCATGAGCCAGCGCCATCCGAGGAGGACCCAAGTGAACCGATTTCGACTCTGTACTGTAGCATACATATTTCCACTTCGAAAGAGGCAGAACGAAGGCTGTAAACCCTGTTTAAGAAAAAGATCAACCTATCAAATTAAGATACACACCATACGCAATCGAAATTTAAGGGGCAGACGACGGCGATAAGACGTTCCGGGTGCTATCAACCTGAAGCAGCCGTGTGCGCACGACGTCGTCGCGTGGGACTGACTATTAACAAATATGCAAGTTGTGCAAAAGACACCTGTCGCGCGACCAAAGATACAAATGAAAGTGCGGTCAGTAACACGGTAGTGAAGAAAAAAAGTAGAGGAACGCGCTTGAAATGCCCCATGTAAGCTCCTAGCTGAACTGCGCTTCTACGTGCATAAGGCGGAGAAGGGGGCTGGTCGAACGATTCCTTACTTGTAATTACCAGCCCTCTCTTCTTATAAACTAATTCTCACTATTTTGAAATGGAAAGAGTTGGTAGCAGACAATCAAACCACCAGAAAGCTTCCAAGTACGAAAGTTGGGCCTTGCCTGACACTGGGGGTGGCCGTGGCTTCGCGAGCAGGTACTCTCCCCACACTTCACTTTTTCGTTACTAGCTCACTTATTTTTGAGCTACGAAAGTAGTACATCCTCCATGCTTGCGTGGCAAGACTACCATATCCAAACAGGGCGTTTGTGTGTCAGTTGATAGCGGACGTGCCCTTAAATTCGATTGTATCTTGGTTGATAGTTGATCTTTTCTTAAAACAGGATATGGTCGCGATGGCTATGCATCGTAAACTAGGGGAGGTTGTCAATCCATTGCTATCTAGCCGAGCTGTCACCTTCATCTCCCGCGTTGCTCAGTACTGGGGATTGAGGGTTAAGGAAATCGTCACTATCGGTGAGTTCTACTATCTGTATCATCATAGATCGTAGTTTGTTCCGCAATTTGTAAAAATTAAAAGCGAGTGCCTTTAAGAAGCAACCATTACACGCATGGTAGTGTATTTCGAAGGGCTCTCTCGCCTTATTACGCTAGCGGAATGCCAGGATAACGCAATTGCGTGAGTTTCTTAAATTGTTCTTTCACATTCTTCTTTTTACAAACTCTGATTGTTGTCGAGTGAACAGGACATAGTATAGTTTCTGTCCAGAGAACCAGTGTACTACAGCGGGAAAAAAACTCGGGACAAAACAAAAAAAAATTGGATTTGTACCGAATTATTTTTTGATTTTCCTTGACTCATTCTCCGGAATAGCGAGGATATAAATAAAGTGTGTATGTAGGACTGTTTCAGATCAGTAAAAGAAGGCTATGCAAACACAAAGTACGTGGGATCTAGGTCCCGGCACTTAAGGCCAGCATTCGGTTGAAAAAATGACGGAGTAAAGTCTTCACCTAGACCCCATAACATATCTTTGAGGCACTTGAAGCATGAGTCCCAAGGAAAGGAGATCACCAAGAGAGCAGTTCCATGCATTTTACAGAATCCGGAACCGCATATCCGTGGATACCCCCAAAGCTCCTGTGGAGTCGATTCCATATATGGTGAGGACTCAAATCAAGTCCAACACCAAGCAAACCAAATTTAGAGCACTGAATAGTTTTTTCTTGTTGAACCCGTTATCTGCTCACCTTTCCTCTGTTTTGCTGTTCAACAGAGAACTGTTTGGAACGCGATTTTGTGGCTTGTCCAAGTTGGAAGTTTTTTCTTATTCCTCTATTAAGTTGGCGGGAAAGTTGTGTCACATTTTTTTCAAATTAGGCTTTTTTATAGAGAGGCGTACAAGACCAAAATCATACAGCAATGTTATTGCGGGGTTCTTGCCACTTGTGAGCACCTCATGGATACCATCGCTGCACAATCAGGACAGTGGCAAAGTTGGACATCATCTCAATTTTGACTGGGACTCGGGTCGTGAAATTTTTTTCGTCCATTTATCGGTTAAGTGCGTGAGGCAATTACGGTTAGAACAAGCAAGGTCGAGGCTGCACCGGTGCGAGGGGTAGCCATCCAGCTCTTTTGCATAGTTCGGCTCAATCTTTTTTGGAGTGGCCTGCTCTGTCATGTTGAAGGGTGACTGTGCGGACAAATTTTTCCCTCTGATCGACGATTCGCTACTGATCTCGTAGCTGCTTCGCATGCGGACTGACTGAGAAGGCAGCTTCTTTACCCAACAGTTCCACAACAGCTCCCTCTAGCTGACTTCACATGTTCACGCAAACCTCACTTCGTCATCAAAAGTGTAGCGTCTCCCTTCCAAACGCTAGCATCGTGGAAGGTTGTCTGATTATTGAGGGCATCGTAACTATGCAGCTCCATTATTTTGGCATCGGGAGCTGCCATGCCGGCGTCAGGGTGGTAGGGGAGAGAGTATGAGGAAGCGCTTGGAGGGGTCGGTGCCGATGGTAGCGGGTAACATTCTTGTCCATATTGCAGAAGAAGAAGATTCAGGAGTCAAGCGACTGGCACTTGTAGAAAAATCATTCCTCGATGTATAACTGCTCACATTACCGATTACCCCTTCTAAGCTAATGGGCAAGTGTTTTGAGTTCAAAAAAGTATGACACAACTTCCTCGTCAACCTAATATGTGGGTGAGCGCAGGAAAAGAGAAAATAAGGTCCGTTCATTCTACATGATTTCGGGAACACCATGAAAATAGTGAGGACAGCCCAGTGCACATCATTATCGGGGATTTTGGTCGCATCCCACGACCCCGCTCCCCCGGCGACCAAACAGGCTCCCTGTTGGGGACTTCTCAACGATGTGCCTCGTGCCCCTACTACTGCAACAACATGAGTTACTAAGAAAACAAGAGAAGGCATGATTGACTAGCAGTACAACTAAGCGCTGTGTACAAAGTGACGCGAATACGCCAAGTTGAAAGGCACTACCGGATGCAGCTTGACAAGCTGGTTGGTAGTATATGGTTTTCTCTAGGGATAATCAACAGGAGCGTCTTAGCAAAACAAAAGCAGAATAGCAAGTATTCCTGTTTTACGTGCTAAAGGCAGAGCCCACGGTAGTACTGTGGACAGTAAACGAACAACCTTTCATAAGTTTCGCGCCCGAAAATGGTAAGTAGTGGACACAAGGCACAAGGCTGCACAAGGAACTCCACCCGCGCTGATAGATGTCTTATTTGCAGTCTTGCTCGTTTGCATGCTCTCTCCTGCTCTATCTGGCTGCTCGTCAATATCTACATCGATTCTTTGTCTCTCGCTTGGTACAAGCAGGGCCTGTTTGAGAAGTTTTTGACGAGTTTTCTCCTTTTTTCTTCACGGTCACTTCTGTTTCTACCCCTAGTACCTGCAAACGTTTCGCTGGCTTATCGCGAAGTTTGCTTTTAACTTTCGGCCACTTTATGGCGCAAACACTTCTGCTTCTCATCCCGCTACCTGCGAACCATCGTGGCGCGATCAGCCACCGGAAATTCGTTAGTAGTGGGATCGGAAGCAGAAGTGCTTGAGCTAGCAGACTTTCTAAGAAAAAAGGTAAGGAAACCACCAAAAACACTCTAAATGAGGCTCTACTTTTGCCATGCGAGGGGCAAGCAGTCGATGTGATCGTCAGGCGAGATTTGACTGGTGGTTTCAGATCGGCCACTGTTGGAGCTTATAGTGGTGTCATGGCTGCTCTATGCTACATGTTGGTTGTGCCGTTCGAGATGTGGAAAGTGGTTGCTAGCGCAGGATCTGACGTGGGATCATTTGAGAACCTTGGTTCCATTTTTTCACAATGTGATGCCCTATTGCTTCAGGAGTGGATCGATGCAGTCATTTACGCTTGCCGACTTCGGTTTGGACATCTGGTATCGATGAGCCACTCTTGTAAGTTTCTTGTTTCCCTTGCAAATTTCTGGAAAGGTTATGGCCAACGTTTTGATTTGCAGCTGAGTTCCTAAAATTGTCACAATTCAACGACAGCTTCGATACTGCCATCTCAAATGACTTGCTTGCACTGTGGCAACGTTTCATTCACAAAATGCGACACACGGGTATTCGGTGAGTTTTCGCCAACTCTGCCGATCGGGGACGTTCTTCTCCATGTGGACTTGTTCAACTAATGTTGATTTCTTGGGCACTATTAAACCATTACTGCCACAGAATCTCAAGAGGAACTTTCGCTGAATATCTGTCTACAGGTGTTGTTCCGTGCCCTGATCACGAGTGCGACACAGGCTTTTGGCACTAGCACCATTTGGCGCCGACTGGGCGCCACCAGCTTTCCCACCACAGTCGACAAAAACTTGCGTACGGGATTTTTTTGACACCTTGGTCACGGATATGACATTATTTTTAGCGCCAGCATCATCTGAGGTGTTCTGATCACCTGCGCTTTGATGAGGCTGAGTCCAGCGAGGAGGGAATCACTTTCACTCCCAGGCTCAGCCTTAGCAGAGCGACAAGTGACGCTGGTGTCGATAAATGAATTTTATAACCATGACTACCCTACTATTATGCAAGCTTCCACCGAATTTGAAGAGAACTTTGGTGGCACCAAATTGACGCCTAATTACGTCAAATGGAGCCGAGCCAATATCATCATATTCGTGAACAGGGGACCGAATCGCCCTTGTAATCAAAGTTCCATCGAATAAAACTGAGTTTTTTTACAGTAAAAGTGCAATAGTGTCATAGAAAAAGCTGAACCTCAGTGACTTATTCTTAACGGTGCGCAATTAAGGTTCTGGAGTGAGAATCGTGAGGTCCGCATACCAAACGGCGTTACAGTACCGGTAAATATTTTTTTATTGGTGCACAGTTCTATTCGCTGGAAATTCGCATTTAGGATCTCTCCTCGTACTCAGGAACGTACTTCCGATTCAGTGCTTTTGAAGGAATTATCGACTGGGTGAGATTTGCTTTCGCTTTATAATAGACGTCCTTTCAAATGTGTAAACTCAATAATATTCTAGACTGTTATGAATCCTATTACAAACAAGAGCGGCAACTGTGATATTGCTTCCTGCGAGCCGACGATCTTCGATAGATTCTCTGAGCAGGACTATGAGCGCGGCTTACTGCCATCGAAAGCTCATGATCCTAAAGTCAGTTCTTGTCTTCCTTGTTACTTCTTACGCTTACTCTTTTCAGTATAGAGAGACCAGGGGCAAAAAAGAAGACGCTGTGCTCATGGTGCCCTCCATCAAAGTTTAGATTGCACAAGATGACAAGGTACATGGAAGCGTCAAGGTGAAATGCTCCTCAGTGCTTCAAGCAGATGCAAATGTGGCAAAGCCACAGCCTCCATTGTCATGAGGGGGTGAGCGCATCCATCATCGCCGTGTATGCAAGTCTCTGGAGACTGCTGCTTTCAACACCGTCTGTTTGGTGAACTTGAACACTGTTTACAAGTCAGACCGATGGCCGACGCCGGCGCGCTCCTCTGTGGTATGGCCCAGCTTTGCCGCACTTCCCTTCTTCTACATGTTTGAATACCCAACTAAGATCCGGCTTTTCTTTTACTCTTTTATCAATAGATGGTCAGCGCTCCTTATCCTGTTACATTATACCTGATATTTTCAACACTATTGCCATGTATGAAATGGTGGTGAGGGGCGCTGACGAAATGAACAGTTGAGAGAAAAGCCAGAAAAGGGTAATACTTGATCATTCAAACATACGAAACCAAGTAGGCGAAACTGAGCCACGTCCGCGGCGCGGCAAGGCCGGATTGATCACAGAGGAGGCCGTGTCAGCCGGCGAACCGTCTGGTGTCAAAAGTGCCTACGACGACCGGTATTCAAGAGTATGGCTGCCGATGCACTGAAGCTCATAAAAATGGGGCCTCGTTTTCGAGGGCACGCTCCGCCCATTGTGGGCGGGTCTGAACACACCACAGAAACATTCAACTCTCGCTGTATGTTTCCCCTTCTTAAACGATTTTTCTGATCTCCGAAGTCACTCGAATTATGACATATCGTAGCGCACCACCCATCTATAGTATAGCCATTTTCAGGATGTCTCCCCCACTTCGTCCACTAACGCCGCGGATTTCAATCCACTTGCACTCGGTGCATATGCTCTGCTCCGCGAATTTTCGACTTTTGCCCTGCCCACCTCGACACATGCTGCGACCACAATGGGCGCGTCTATCTCACTTCGATAGTTGAACTTTAGCATACCTTTGCTCACCTTTAGCCGGTGTCTGGAGTGCTCTGGAACCGTTCTGCGAATTTCTATGCTTCGCTTCGTCCACCTCACCGCACGCTCCGCCTATGACGGGTGTGCCGCGCACCTGTCACCAGGTGATCCCTTGCTGTTCATAATACTTTTCTAGCGTATTTGGTGCTCTGGAAGCGAACTGCAAATTTTTGAATTGACTACCGCTTGGTTGAGTCTACGGTGTGCAGGGAGCCCCCTCCTCCCACCACTGCACATCTACGGAACTCTTGCCAGATGTTTGCCTTCGCCACGGACTTTCTTGCGTCCTCTCAACTCGAGAACTGAGTTACTGAATTTCGTGGAAAGCACCGCCCATCTCAAGTAAGCCCTGCCCATTTCAGGTAGTTTCCACCGGGTGTGCCGACTCTTTGCTAACCTTATCTCACTTTTTTTCCCATCTCGAGATTGCCTTGTAGACAAAATATGATTTTTTTCAGTGACATGGCAAGCACCGCCCATTCCAAGCACGCCCCGCCCACTTCGGTTGTGGCTCCTTCGTTTAGCCTCTCGACCATTTGCTAACCTTATCGCACATTTCCCCACCTTGGGACTGGCTTCGAGCCAAAATATTATATGATTCAGTAACCGCGGCCTTGACCCCACCTCTCCAAGTTGTTCTTCTGGTATAACCGAGTTCTCGGACGAACAAACGTACAAACAAACAAACAGACATAGCAAATTATATAGGGTGGCTGCTGATACGTTTTTGCCAACTAGACTCCATAAATCAAGGTGATCGAAAAGCTTTCTGGGCGCCGGCCCGTCGCTTTGGATTTTGGGGATTGGATTGGATTTGAAGGAATGTACCGGTATTCAAGTAACTGTGCACAGTTTCCATTTACCCCGTCGTTCTGTTCAAAATAAGTTTTTGTGTAAGAGCCGTCTAGTCTTAGAAGTGAGTTCCATGAGCAAGTGTCTTTTATTGAACTCCTTTCTGGACATGCGATTATACAGCTATTCGAATTTGCTGCTTCAGGTATACAGATGTCCAGTAACAGGAGCTGAAAATTGGCACGAGACTGTCACTGCCTTACCTGATGTTAGTGCTGGCTTCATACATTTGAATGATGTAATTTCGTTTCTAACTCTCTTTTTTCTATATTTTCTCTCGAACAATTCAGGACCCATACGTGCAAATAACTGCTCGAGACTGTGAGACTCGAGGCGATGAAGTTTGCAGTAGATGGCAGAGTCCCGTAAATCATCTTCTCATTGAGCAAATTGGTCGGCGATTCAAATGGAAAATTATCTACACTCATCTGATTCGACAGGGTATAAAACAATTTCTCACTAGGGAAAGCTCTCACGTCAAGGTGGCTGTTTGTAGTGAAACAGTCAAACTCATTTCCTAGCGGTGATCAGTGCTGTATTCGAAATATGTATAGCCTTTCTCTGCACAGATTGTGAGAGTTTTGTCCGCGCGCTTCCTTCTTACCTTACGGAAGCGCCCTTGCATTTAGTGAATGAAATCAATCACTGGCAGCATGGAGCAGTTGCGTTCGCACCACGAGCAGTTGCCAATGTTGCTTCTTCAGAAATATTTCTGGAAAGGGGTTCAACGTTGCCGGAACATCGATGCTTGTCTCAGCAAGTCTCGGCCGCTTCCAGCCTTGGAAATTGAGCAGCTGACGTTTTTAGCGCGCTTTACAGACGTTTTTGCGCAAAAAAGAGTGCCCCATTCGTCCCGATAAAATCTAGCAGCAAATTTCTACCTCTTTCCAAAATTTTATCTTAACTTAGAAAAATAAGGGACTGGTTGTGGTCCTGCGCCTCAGATGAAAGTGATCGGTAACTGGCCCTGGGTCAGTATTTATTTCTAGTTATCTGGGAGCATGGATCAGAGTGGAAGGCAGATTACCGGAAATGACGAGATGAAATTTCAGGACCGAAGAGACACTGAGAGACTTGAAGACAGTTTCCTCGATTAGGTAGTCCGTGAAATTCCTCCGTGCATTTGGCATCGTTATCCGTCACAGAGAATATACCGGCGAGATAATGAAACTAGAGCGGCGTGATTATCGCAACCATTGCAACCACGATTAATTTAACTTACAAGCCAGGCTCACAAGCGGAGTACATAGCGTTGCCTGGAGCGTCGTAGGATGATTTCCTGTGCTCAGGTTGGTAATCGGTTTCACGTCGAATCCTGCTGATTGAGCTCGTCCAACGTCCGTGAAACTCATCCAAATCGTCCACGGCTAAAGGGATCTCTGTTCAGAGTGTTCTCTAGGTTTTTCGCTTTTTCTCCATTGGAGAGTTACTGATGGACAATTGGTTCATGACTGAGCATGGTCGCGGGAATCGTCTCTGAGATGCAGATGTGAAACTGAGCTGGAGAGAGCAAAGCCTCTGTATTATGCACGGCGAATTACTAGGATGGCGCGAAGACGTGAACATATGCTGTTCTTTCAGAAGAGGCCGAGAAGGTAGATCAGTCCCAATAATAGGTCTTGATGTTATGATAGGCCCAGCACTATTGGCGGGCCTACATGACGCATAAACATTCTTTCTTTACAAACTTGGGCCTTTTGGGGGCAAACTTTAGTATTTATGTTTGAGCCCTAGACGCGATATGTCTCTTTTAACATGAAAGTTTTCATCTGATTTGCTAGGATGGCGCGAACACGTGAACATACGCCATTCTTTCAAAAGAGGCCGAGAAGGTAAATCACTCAGTAATAGGTCTTTTTATGATAAGCCCAGCACTATTGGCGGGTCTGCACCACGCCTGACTGGCCTTGACACTCCCAAAGGCGCAGCGCCGTGAGAAACGTTCATGTCTCGTCAGACTATGACGCTTTCAGGGAAACGTTTGGCAAGTTGAGATCGGCGCTATAAAATGCATCTGATGGTGTGGAGAACATCACAAATGGCTACTTTGACCTGGGAGTCATAGCCGATTATTGGAAATTTGCTGTTCTTTCAAATTTGCAAATTGTTCCAGAGAGCAACGGCCAATTCACAAACTTCTTCCATCACGTTGATGTGATGTTTAAGAACATAGCTCCATTCTTCCTACACGGACACGGCAAGCATACGTGCTTCAGGTAGGCATAAACGTTTGGCCATTGTTACGGCGTAAGAGTAGGTTTACAGCCTACAGGATGGCGCAGAATTGTGCGCCATCCTGTAGACGTGTGCCACGAAAAACGGTACAATTTTTTGCTCGTGAAGGAAATTAAAGGAAATTTGAAGGAAATTATTTGATGAAGTAGAGTGAAGTATGAATCAAGGCAATCATAGATAACCAGTTCGGCTTACGCGCACTACTGCGCACATGGTCCAACCTATAACACTGATTACTGACAGGATTTCTGTGCTGATCTTAACACTTTTAATTCCCATGTTTCAAAATACATCATATTACACCTTGTTAATGAACATCGGTCAATGTCTGGTGCTTCTCACATTTGAACACACACCATTCGTTGGAAATATGACAGCTCAGCGGTTGAAAGAATTTTGATGGTAATCATCTATATCGAAACCATTCAGTGCGTAACAGAAGTATACGGACCACAAATTTTTGTCCTGCAAAATTGCCTTTAAATTTCGCGATATGAGACCTTTACTGTTGAATTCCTCATAAGCGAAAACATAGGAATACATACTTCTGAGCTCTTTGTGAACGACTGTACAATTATTTATTGTTTTGAAAAAGTTTCTTAATAACAAAAGTATGTGGACACCGGAGGAAGTCCGAAGTTTGGCTCCAGATCTGCAATCTATTTTTATGGTCTCTAGTCCCCATTAACCTGTCACTCATGCCTCGTTGTGGTAGTCCCCTTACAAAGACGAACAAGTTCGGATCCCAGCTTTCAGTGTTGCAGGGCACAGAGAAATTGCAAAACAGCTTGGACTTCCGGCGACGGGCGTTGGTATATACCTCCAGAATCCTGAAGGTTACCACTCGGTATCTGTTTCGAGGCACCTACGATCTTTTCCCGCAAAAGTTATCAGAAAATGGCCTTAAACTCCCCGCTTTCTGTGGCACAGATCGCCGCGATGAATCTACTGGTCTCAAAAATGGTTTGGCGCACTATTCGATCAAATGAGCACGTCACTTGAGAGACCACGAAGACGGTTCCCTGTCTGACTGCCAAGCACTAGCTGGCAAGACTGAACTTTGCGCTGCTAACATGGCGACGTCGTAGGACAAGGTACAGTTTCTTGAGGTATTTGTAAAAACAGAAAGCAACCCTTATGCGCATTTCTTTTATAGGTTATCTTTACTGATAAGAAAAGTCAATCTCGACAGTCCAGATGGATATCAGCATTACTGGAAAGACCTTTGTAGTTCCGTTGGTGTTCTCGAGCGAATTTTCGGAGGCGCCTCTTTGATGGTACGGGGTGTTTGGAAGCAGAAGAAAGCTGGAGGCTTGCCTTCCCATCGTGCTGTGTGAACAGTCAGGAATATCGAGGAGTGCTCGAGTCTAACCTCTTGCCTTTTCTGAGCGGGCCACGACGCTGGACTCGTGATGCAGCAGGACAAGCCGCCGTGCATGTTTCAAATTCTACTGGAAAATGGCTCCAACGCTATGGTATCAAAGTGATTGACTGGCTGGCGTGTTTTCCTGACTGCAATCCGAGGAATCTATATGAAGGGCAGTACAACAGCGTGCATGAACATGAAGGAGGCGGTGGTTGGGAGGAAATGGGAGGAAATCGGCGAAGATCGGACAAATATTGTCCACAGCATGCCAGACAGAATGTTCGAAGTAATAGTGATTGCTGGAGGAATGACCAGCTTCTATTTTCCACGATACATTTGTTTTTTGTTAAGTTTCCACATACTTTTGTTATTGAGAAACTTTTTTCAAAACATCAAATAATTGTAAAGTGGTTCACAAAGTGCTCAGAAGTAGTGCATTCCTATGTTTTAGCTTATGAAGAATTCAACAATGAAGGTCTCATATCGCAGAATTCGAAGGCATTCTTGCAGGACAAAAATTTGAGGTTCCACACTTGTTACCATTGTAGTGAAGTGTTCTTACATCCTAGCTCCCGTTGAGCAGCTTTCATGTATCCGTCTGTTGGTGGCTCTTATCATTTGTCACCGACAAACATCTTCAGGCTCTCCCTTTTTGTCCAACTTAAGAGTTTAGCGGTCGAAGCAATTTTGACCATATCGCTAAGGCATGGAAACGTCTTGGCTCACTGAGCCTCAGTCCACTGGTTCTTTGGCCACAGTAGTCAACTTCATTTGCAAGCAGAGTGAAGATGCGAACAGATACTTTTATGAGCCCTTGTCCGACACTATTCTTTGATTTCTTAAACGTTCTTAAAGACAGATCCCGCGTTCAAGTGTCACGGATAGTTGCCCCTAAATTATGAACCAGTAGCTGATAAGTAGTTCCCCAAAAAAGAAAAAAAGCAAAAAGAAACGTCAAGAACAAACAAAATCGCTCTCTGATCGTCATAGCGCTCTCGCTCACAAATCGATTTTCCATCAACATCCTCCAGTAATATGTATATAGCATCCAGTGCAAACAAAAGAATACGACGAACAACAAAAAACCGGTGGAAGCACGTAACAAAAAGAAACTTTTAAAAACTCTGTGTACGAATTTAAGATTACGTAAGCGTCATCTTTCAGTGCAGTCGAGGTTTTGCACCTAGAAATTGCGTCACTGGTAACTTTAACGCGTTTTACCTGCAAGATGGTGCAATTATTCTATGTGCTCCTAATCAGTACAAAGTGACAAGGTAGTGCAGAATTACTTGGGGCACGAGCGCGGTCTAGATATGCAATTTTAATTAATGCCCTCCGCCTCAACAAAGAACAAGTGAGCGGCCCTGCGTCAGATGTGGGAAGGACATCTAGCACATGGGCGGTCCAACTGAGCGAATGTTGAAACTACAACCTTCGGTGGCTGTTGCACCATCGCTCGCTGTGGAGTTGCGAAAGGTACAGCCTCTTATCCGGGGGGGGGGGACTGAACTACTTGCACAAGGAAGTACGACCACGACCTACTTGTGCACCGAGCTGTCTTTAAGTGAACGGCGGTGGCCATTGTAGCATCGTCGGTCCAGATAGAGAATCAAGGCAAGAGAACGCGTAGATGACACATGAGAACACTGCGGTATCTTCCATCCTCGCATCAACCAGGCTTTCCACAGTTCGCCGCCTTCGCAGCGCTGACAACAAACTCTGTGGGCAATCCTATAAGGCCAGGTTACGGCTGTGTTCATATTTAGCCCTTCAATCCTCTAACCATCTATTTGCCGAATGTGACCGACTTTGTCACAGCTACACTTGGTCCGCTACCACGGCTAATTCAATCCCATTTACAAAAGATTTTTTCGGACATTTGCGGCAGTCCAGCCACGTGCGAAAGAGTTCGATCGGGCCACACCCGTGCAACTGAATCGCTCGTGCAGAGAAGTGTGATCGCTTCGTAGGCTGTAACTACACGTGTCGTTTACGAATACACCAAGTAGAATAGAGTGAAAATTGCTATTTATCTTTTAAAGGCGTGCCGTGGAAATCGCAGACTCGTTCATTGTGTCTAGTTTATGTCGCATGGGTGTAATACCGTTGGAGATGTATGACCTCATCCGTGAAATTGGCAAGGTTAGTTTCTGTTAGTAATCTAAACAGTCATTGAGTTACACATCAAGATAAGTGATTATGGCGTCGCACGAATTTCGCGATCTTCTTTCTAGATGCTCTAAAAATCGTAGATGAATCCTCCGTCCTTGGACAAGGTAGTGCAATGCGCCAACACAGACGCTACATCGCTGTCGTGATCCAAAAATACAAAAAACTACGCTACGTGACTGCGACGAAAACAACGCCCTGCTCACTGCCTCATACCTTCAACTTACAAAGGGCAGCATTGCCTCTGTCACTCATTGCGGAACCGCGGAAAGTGAGAGAAGTCCTTCAAAGGCATTTGGCACGATAAATCGTTATACAGGTGTAGGATTTGTACAACTGGCTTAACAGAATTCCGTGACCTCGGACAGGCGCTGCGTGAAGCCTTTTCCAAACAGGTTACCTCTATAACGCCCTATTGAGCAACAGCTTTACGTCCCAAACGCCTTCCTTGCCCGCCCGCCCACAAACGGACGACCGTTTCTGACGCTCGTATTCATTCATTTGCTGAGCAAATTATAAAGCAAAGGGATTGGTATGAAGCGGCGGTGAGGCTGCATGCATATACGGGTACACATATGCATCCGTACCTTCGGTAGCGGTGATTGGCAAGATGCGTACGGGAAACTCTTCCGAAATCGATTTACAAAGCTCACTTGTGAACGGAGGCTTTTTCTTCACAGGATTTTGACCGTTTTACCCCGTTCTTTCGCCATTTCCTCACTATACAGCGCCCTACTAGCATTTTAGGCTTACTAGGGATGGTCGTCAGGTCGAAGTGGCCGTTTGTAATGAGGACCTAGACCATAGACGTATTTTCAGACGGCTGATTTCAAATCTGCATTCCAAATTTGCAAAAGCGATTTTGTGAACGGAGTTATGACGGGTCCGTTTGGCTGAAGGCGGCGCGGGGTCGGCGGCAGTCATGAGCCAGCGGCATGAGTAACCGGGATGCAGCGCCTCATCAACGCGGCGGTGGCACAGACGTAAGGCGTCTAGGTTCATCGGGCACACGATGAAGGTTCGGCATCCCGAGAGTGTGTCTGTTTTGCCTTCCGTGAGGACGCTCCTACGACTCCACGGAATGCAAAACCTATGATACCACTTCAAGCCTTGATGTGACCACATTTTTTCAACTGGGGCGCCGAATTCCTGTCAACTAAGTGCAAACTACCACCCTTGGACAAGAAACATACATCCTTATAGCTGCGAAACCAGTACTGCTTTCACCCTAACTGGTAAGTTCCCACGCTGCACACGTCATTCGCAGCCTCTAGAACTTTGATCGCGGAACAATTTGATCTATTCCCATAAGAGTAGATCACACTGATCACCCAGCCCAGTTTGAAAAATGTGGTCACATCAAACGCTTGAAGTGCTTAATCATTAGTCGTAGGACGTCCTCCAGCGGAATGGGCAAAACCGAAGCACAGTCTCGGGATCCGAAACCTTC